GACCAGCCACTACTTTGTGTGAGAGAACCGACCATCTTCTGTAGCATGACCACAGTAACTGACAGTCCTCTGTAGCATGTCTGCATTTTCTGTCCATCTTCTGTAACATGTCTCCACTCTCAGACTATCTCCTGTAGAGTGTCTCCAGTCTCAGACCATCCCCTGTAGCATGTCTCTAGTATAAGACCATCTCCTGTAGTGTGTCCCCAGTCTCAGACCATCTCCTGTAGCATGTCTTTAGTATTAGACCATCTCCTGTAGCATGTCTCCAGTCTCAGACCATCTCCTGTACAGTGTCTCCAGTCTCAGACCATCTCCTGTAGCATGTCTCCAGTCTCAGACCATCTCTTGTAGAGTGTCTCCAGTATCAGACCATCTCCTGTAGTGTATCTCCAGTCTCAGACCATCTCTTGTAGCATGTCTCCAGCCTCAGACCAGACCATCTCCTGTAGAGTGTCTCCAGTCTTAGACCATCTCCTGTAGCATGTCTCTAGTATCAGATCATCTCCTGTAGTGTGCCTCCAGTCTCAGACCATCTGCTGTAGTGTGCCTCCAGTCTCAGGCCATCTCATGTTGAGTGTCTCCAGTCTCAGACCATCTCCTGTAAAGTGTCTCCAGTCTCAAACCATCTCTTGTAGTGTGTCTTCACTCTCAGACCATCTCTTGCAGAGTGTCTCCAGACTCAGACCATCTCCTGTAAAGTGTCTCAAGACCAGACCATCTCTTGTAGCATGTCTCCAGCCCCAGACCAGACCATCTCTTGTAGAGTGTCTCCAGTCTCCGACCATCTCTTGCAGAGTGTCTCCAGTTTTAGACCATTTCCTTATGCAAGCGTTTTATTTCCTATTCTTTGTTTATTATTAATTATAATTACATCTTTATCGTGAGTGTAATTCACTCACTCCATAGTTCTTCTTGGACTAGCTTTTAGGCCTTGAGGTCTGAGAGGTACTAATTAGACCCAGAAGAAGGGGCAAAAAATGAACGTTCAGTACAGTAGTCCACTGTGGTGTTACCTTCAAAGGAATATACAACTGCATTAGGGGCCCATTTACACCAAAATCAGATGGAAATCGCAAGTCAACAGAAGGCCCTGTGACTTGCAATTTCAACCTCTATTGACCTCCGTTCCATTTTGTTTGTTTTTTTCTCTTTTTTGCCAATCTTTATTTTAATTAACATGTTCTGAGTGGACAGACATCTATGTATTTCTTTTTTTTTTAACTTTCGTTGCGATTGTATCCGTTTTTGCTCCATGCTCTACTTTTTTTCATCGCACTGCAACAGAACGGAATGCAGTGGTGTGAACTGGTCCCATTCACACCTATTAATTTTTTACATAGTTTACATAGTATTTGGGGCTGAGTAAAGACATACGTCCATCAAGTCCAACCTATATAGGTCCACGCATCATCTCATTCTTAGGAATACTTGTATCCCTGAATATTACCGTCCCTCACGAAATCGTCCAAAAGTTTATTGAACAATTCTACACTCTTAGCTGAAATCACTGCCGGTGGCAGTGAGTTCCAGACCTTAACCGCTCTTACTGTGAAGAACCCCCTTCGCCCATTGTGCTGGAATTTTTTTCCACCAACTTTAGGTGGTGGCCTCTAGTCTTTGTAATGGAGTTAATCTTAAAGAGTTTGTTGCCAATGTTGCTGTCACCATTGAACATCTTGTACATGAAAATCATATCCCCCCTTAATCTCCTTACTTCCAGCGTGAACATGTTTAAGTTCAGTAACCTTGTCTCATAGCTCTGGTCCTCCATTCCCGTAATTAGTTTGGTTCCCCTCTTCCACTGCTTTATTTGCATTGAGCATTTTAAGTCTTTGTTGCATCCCGCTTTCTGTCAACCACTGGGGTATATTATCGGTTGAACTATGTGTTTTATCACGTACGTCAAACCCGTTTCCCTCCTGTGTATATACTGAGGAGAAAAAAGCGTTCAGACCCCCCGCCCTCTCCTTGTCATTTGTGAGTAACTTCCCGTTTTCGTCCTTTATTGGGCCTATCTGCTCCTTTCTTACCTTTTTACTGTTAATATATTGGTAGAATGTTTTGGTTTTTTTTTTTTACTAACTGTGGCGATATGCTTTTCACATTCTATTTTAGCTTCCCGGATTACTAGTTTGCATTTTTTGTTACATTCCTTGTAGTTAAGGAACGCCAATGCCGTCCCTTCCATCTTATATTTTATAAATGCCATTCTCTTTGCCCGTCCCACCCTCTTTCCTTTCCTGTATTCAATATTGAAAGTAATCACATTGTGATCACTATTACCCAGTCAGAAATCAAAAGATCTCGCTGCACTCCGAGACACATTCTGAGCCTGATGAAGGGGACACTCTGAGGCCCCGAAAGCGCTTGCATTTGAATGGCAATGTGCCAATAAATGGACTATAGCTTTATTATCCCTTGGAGTGCTGGTGATTTTATTTTCTACCCCACTATTACCCAGTGTCTTCCCCAATTGCAATATCCTCAATTATCTCCCCATTATTAGTAATTATTAAATCTAGGATGGCTAGATTTTTCTGTGCCCTTGCATTAGCTTCCATTGAAAAATGGATCGCAACACAACGGATTTGGTGTCAATAAGGCCTAAACTATCCTTTTTTTAATATCAGCTTTAAATACATTCAAATGTCACTTGCTATAAAAAATTATGAGAAGTTTATGCTCCAAGGCAGATGATATATTTTACAATAAATTATCTAAATGCCGTAATCTAGACAGTTATTATTCATAACTGAATGCAAATTAGGGGCCGCTCGACATACTAGAACCTTCACCTGGCTCGCCTTCTCAGACAGAAACACATTGTTTTGGAGGCTTTCCCATAACATGCTGAAACTTTCCGCTTCCTGCAGTTTCGGTCTCTCTCCCAGTACTATTTTCCAATTCGTCTGGATGGCTTCCCATGTAATTTCAGATCTTCCAAACGCAAGAACTGGGACATCAAAGCGGCTCGATGTTTGCTGCATAAATTGAAAACAAAAAAATACTTCGTACTCCGATCAACGTACAAGTAGTACAAGGAAAAGCACTCAGTTCTTTTATAAGGCTTGTGTCTCCCCCAACTATAGGGTCCCAGTGCAGCCAAATGGCATCTACATTTGCTCCAGTTTAAGGCACTTTTCAGTACCGTATGTAAGTTAGGTAGCAGCCAAAAAAGAAGACATCTGCTCTCATGGCTGCATCAGCAACTGGGGCTTTAGGACTGTTACAACAGACTGGACACAAGTCTTTACTACAGAAAAGGGCTGAGCATATGGCAACAAAGCCACCAGAAGACCACTGCAACCACACTAAATAACAAAAAGAAAGAAATTGTGGGTGCCATAAACTGTGGTCCTCCCCTTCCTGGCTGCAGTGCTGTCAGCATATAGCAGGCAATAGCTCACTATATGCTGGGTTTTGGGTCACAAGAGGACATCAGTATATGTTCTCCTGTGACCCTAAAGAGAACTATGGCATAAAAAGCTTGGGTCGTAGTTCTATTTTAAATCACTTCCTGTGACTGTAGGGTGTCATTGGCCTACCCCTTGGAGGCATTTCAACATAGCACCTCTATCTGATGTCATTATGTCAGCGCCGTTACCTGTATCATTGAGGACCACCCAATGCTGGACAAGATGCAACGCGGATCCAACCAGAACACATTTGAAAAAGGTAAGTATGAACCAACAATACATGCAGAGATTGGGGAGGTGAGGGTGCATCCAGAAAGGGAGAGGGGTACAGGGGGGGTTGTGTGGGAGGATGCAGTTTTACTTTAATTATTTTACATTTTGTAATGTATTCTAAGTCACTAAGGGGGAAATTTATCAAAATTGGAGCAGGCAAAATCTAGAGCAGCTGTGCATGACAACCAATCAGCTTCTATCTTCAGTTTGTTCAGTTAAGATTTGAAAATGAAAGAGAGAAGCTAATTGGTTGTCATGCACATCTGCTCCAATTTTGATAAATTCCTTACAGTATGTGCTATAGGACAATTGGCGACATTTTCATGTGTTTATTCCAGGAGAGGTGAACAGTAAAATCTCTGCATCATTAAACCTTGGTTGGATGATGTCAAGTTCCAGACACAACCACTTAGGTAGGGTATACACAGGTAGATTTTCAAACAAACGTTCGTACAAAAAATCCCATCAGAACGTTCGATAATACCATCAGAGGCTTGGCGATTGTCATGTAAAATTTCATTTGATTTTTGTTTTCATTTAACATTCGATTTTGGAGTGAATGATGTTTCCCGAACGAAAACACTTTTGTTTGCATTGTGCTTATCTTCAGGTATTTACCAGAAAAGTTGGTTTGTTTGTTTTTTTTTTAAAGTGGTGCTGCAGGGGGGCGTGGTGTTTTTTTTTATATGATAAATTCTATACAAGTGCTATGAAAACAATATGTATTTTGAAGATTGTCAGCCCATAGAAAAAAGTTGGTGCAGACTTTTGGCAGGATCACCCAGTATTTAAACCTATAGCAGCCCAGCAAAAAAACTGATGCATGAATGCGCACAGAGATTTTATCCTCCCTGGCATCAGACCCATTCATGGTTCTGTAGCTATTGACTCTGCAGACAGTTGGCGACTTCTGTGCCTGTGCTCTGTCATCTTACGTGGCCTACCACTTTGTGGCTTAGATACTGTTGGTTCCAAGTTGCTTCCACTGTGTTATATACCACTAACAGGTGACCGTGGAATATTTAGTGGCAAGGAAATTTCACGGAACACCTGAATCCAATGATTTGGAGGGGTGTCCCAAAATCTTCGGCAATATAGTGTATATATATATATATACAGGTGAAACTCGAATAATTAGAATATCGTGCAAAAGTAATTGCAGAAAGTGCTGCAAAAGGGGCCCAAACCAAGTACTGAGTACATATGCATGCTTGTACTTTTCAGAGGTCCGATATTGTTCTATGTACAATCCTTGTTTTATTGATTGCATATGATAATCTACTTTTTTGAGGTTGTGGATTTGGGGTTCTTGGGGTTTTCATGAGCTGTAAGCCATAATCATCACAATTATGACAAATCACGGCTTGAATTATCTTGCTTTGCATGTAATGAGTCTATCTCATATATTAGTTTCACCTTTTAAGTTGCATTAGTGAAATAAATGCACGATATTCTAATTATTCGAGTTTCACCGGTATATAAATAAAATGTAAAATTGCTGGGGGAGAGAGGCCGATTTTTTTTTTTTTGCCAGAAAAGACTTTGCATGTCTCTTCTGCCAAAAATCCCAACCTCCCAGCATTTTTTATTTTCACTTCACTTCCACTTTAAGGGCAAAGCACACCGAGGGGATGCAATACCTTGCTTTACTTTCAGAAAATGCTAGTCACCTGTCATATTGGTCCTATCCATGGAGTAAAGTGAGATGCCTGGTACTGAGGAAGCCAGGAGAAAAGGGGATTGGCGGCCGGCTGAGCTGTCAGCCAAGAAGGGGAGGGGTTAGCCGTGCTGCCAGCCGTGCTACCGCCTCAGGATGCGTCATTGTGGGGTGCCCCTCGGTGTGACTCTCACATCTTTTTTAGGATGCCTCATTGTGGGGTGCCCCTGGGTGTGACTCTCACATCTCTATAGGTTGGACTCGATGGACTTGTGTCTTTTTTCAACCTGACTAACTATGTAACTATCTTCCACTCATGATGCCATGCTGAGACAGCCAATCACTAGAATCCAGTGCTGCCGCATGGGGGGAAGAGACTGTCCTCAGCCCTGTGTAAGCTCTGATCAGATGAACTTGAAGCTTAAAAAAGGCATCTTGTCTTCGCTCTGGAACGTGAACGGATCAGTTGGAAAGGCAATAGCAAACAACTGCAGAAACGAACCATGAACTACTCTCTCCAATGCTGGAGTTTGGCCACTGGCAGGGTTCTCCCCTAGTCTGAGCTTTGATTGTGTACCTAGTGTCCTATTCTGGTATGTGGCATTATGGTTTGTCCCAATCCTTGTAGCTGTCACTTTTGCTGGACAGTTGAATCTGCACATAAATGCAATGGAAAGAAAAAATAAAGGCATGCAAAAGAAAAAGAAAAACAAGTTTAAACTGGGTGCTGGCCGTGATTCATGTATTGAACACTATCCTTACATGTATTAACTAGTTAACCAGTTGCCTCCCATTTCACATTAATGGATGGCAGCCTTCCCAGGGCAGGGCAAAATTTTAAAATGTAATTTTCTTCTGTGTGCTCGTGCACAGTACCGCCATCGCACAAAAGAGGGTACTGATCCAATGTTGGCTAATCACAGCCAGCACCCAGTTCAAACTAGTACCAGTGTCATCCAGAAACAGCGTCATCCAATCCTCTACTATCGTTCACTCCTCTACAGTATATGCCAGCTCCATTCTGTCTCTGATCTGACCTGTATATTAACCCCACACTTTCCTTACCCTGCACATCTGTACATTAACCCCCTCATTTCCATTGTGTACATTAATGATTAACTGTATCTAGTGCACCATTTCCAAGCTCTGTGTTTTAACCCCCTCGATATGTTTTTTAATTACTGAAAAGTTTTTAGCTGACCCCCCTGCGCTGGGTGTGCGGGTCTCCGATCCAGCGCTGACTCCACTGTCCTCCTCTTCTCTCATGTCCTACGGAGTCTGTGTGGGTGCACGCTGCTCCGTAGACTTACCTTGTGACTCTTCTCGTCTCCCGGCTGAACATCTGAAGTGCGCATGTACCCACCCCAAGATCCCTTGCGGCCGCCCAAGAAAAGTTTCAGATGTTCGGACGGGAGCGCGCGGTGGAGACACAGGTAAGTTTTAACCCTTTGAAAATGTTTTTTTTTGTATTGCTTGCTAGCAGTAGATTTATGCAAAAACATGCAAGGGTTTAATAACCCTCTAATACTACTTTAAATAGCACCAAATCAAAGTGCTCTCTGAAAAAATCATATAAAATGAATATGGGTACACAGTGTT